AAATAAATAACATGCTTAGCTAGCTGAATAAATACATGCTTAGCTAGCTAAATAAATAATATGCTTAGCTAGCTAAATAAATAATATGCTTAACTAGCTAAATGAATAATATGCTTAGCTAGCTAAATAAATAACATGCTAAGCTAGCTAAATAAATAAACATGCTTAGCTAGCTAAATAAATAACATGCTAAGCTAGCTAAATAAATAAACATGCTTAGCTAGCTAAATAAATAACATGCTTGGCTAGCTAAATAAATAACATGGTTAGCTAGCTAATTAAATAACATGCTTAGCTAGCTAAATAAATAACATGCTTAGCCAGCTAAATAAATAACATGCTTAGCTAGCTAAATAAATAACATGGTTAGCTAGTTGAATAACATGCTTAGCTAAATAAATAACATGGTTAGCTAGCTAAATAAATAAATAAATAACATGCTTAGCTAGCTGAATAAATACATGCTTAGTTAGCTAAATAAATAATATGCTTAGCTAGCTAAATAAATAATATGCTTAACTAGCTAAATGAATAATATGCTTAGCTAGCTAAATAAATAACATGGTAAGCTAGCTAAATAAATAATATGCTTAGCTAGCTAAATAAATAACATGCTAAGCTAGCTAAATAAATAAATACCATGCTAAGCTAGCTAAATAATTAACATGCTTAGCTAGCTAAATAAATAACATGCTAAGCTAGCTAGCTAAATAAATAAATAAATAACATGCTTAGCTAGCTAAATAAATAACATGCTAAGCTAGCTAAATAAATAAATAACATGCTTAGCTAACTAAATAAATAACATGCTAAGCTAGCTAAATAAATAAATAAATAAATAGCATGCTTAGCTAGCTAAATAAATAACATGCTTAGCTAGCTAAATAAATAAACATGCTTAGCTAGCTAAATAAATAACAAGCTAAGCTAGCTAAATAAATAAACATGCTTAGCTAGCTAAATAAATAACATGCTTGGCTAGCTAAATAAATAACATGGTTAGCTAGCTAAATAAATAACATGCTTAGCTAGCTAAATAAATAACATGCTTAGCCAGCTAAATAAATAACATGCTTAGCTAGCTAAATAAATAACATGGTTAGCTAGTTGAATAACATGCTTAGCTAAATAAATAACATGGTTAGCTAGCTAAATAAATAAA